CCTCCTCCTCCTCCTCCTCCTCCTCATCCTCCTCCTCCCTTTGTAAATAAGTTTAATGTAGAATGGGCATAGAGACAGGCAGGTTTGAAAATTCACAAATGGGCAAAAGTGAGGATAATTGGTTCTGGCAAGCTAAATGGTTTTCTACTGCCAGGCACACTAAAAAAAACTCTTTTATTCTCACTCACTCACTCACACACACACACCCCAACACACACAATGTATTAGATCCCTGCTTTAATTTTCTTATGCTGCTTCTCATTAACTAGGCTTTGTCTGTCTTTTTCTTTTGTAAAAGGCAGGATGTTAAATTTCGACAACATTACTGCATCCCGAAGTCTCGCCTCCTTTGCCCCCATTCCCTTCCTCCCCCTCTTTCTCTCCTTCTCCCTCATGAACTCTGTGTTCATACAGCAGGATTATTGGGGGGGGGGGAGGTTAGAAATGAGAGATTGTTTATAAATTTGCGGAAATAGAGGAATGTAGAGGGCCCCAGCCTGATGTCTTTTGTCCAGAGCGAGCACACGTCAGAGTTGCAACTACAGTTTTGGCAGGGAATGGGGAGATTCTAACATCATTGCAGATATTTTATGTCTGGAAACATTTTACCCTTCTTCTCTCCTCTGTCCCTTGCTTGTTGCCTGTACAGTAGCTCATGAGCATCTGAAAGAGAGAAGTCTCTTTGGCCTTCCCCCTCCTCCTCCAGGAGCCAACCCTGCAGACTACTATCACCAGATGACACTCATGGCCAGCCACCCAAATCCTTATGGGGACCTCCTCATGCAGAGTGGAGGAGCAGCCGGGGCCACGCATCTTCATGATTACCTCAGCCCTGTAGATGGTGAGTAAAAGAGCCTTCTCTAGCTGGATCCATGTCCGAGAGTGTTCTTGGTGGGATGACCATTTCTAGAGTGGGTGAATGGCACTGTAAAATTGGTCATAAAAATGTGCATCTGTGTGCGCACATATGTGTCTAAGAAAGACAAGATTATTGAAAGCACTGGGTTACTTGACATCCTGCTACTTCCTGCATATGGCTACAGGCCCTGTTTTGCAACACGGCACAAATAAGAGGACCAGCCTCTCCCCTGCCCGTTCTTGCAAACTCTTCGTAAAGAATGTACAACTTGTCTTGCTAAATCTCCAGTTCTACTGGATAACAAACACCCTCATTAAACTTGGCAGACACTGGGAAGCTAAGACGTGTGAACTGAAAGGCTCTGCCATGCTAAATGAGAAGAGGGCATGATCACTTTACAGTAAAACAACAAATGCTGGACCGCCTCTTCAGAAAGTGGGAGGGACAGGGGAAAAAAGTTCTCATCTAGAGTTTGGCTCGCTTTGCCTAGTAAACTTCATGCTTTGAACAGCTCCGGCCCTCCAAACCAATTAAGAAAGGTAGGAATTAATTTTGCAGAATTAGCACAGGCTTTGTGATAAATTGTAGAGAGACTATACACAACTCCGCTTAAACTGAAGCACTTTTAATCAGACCCAGTTTTCAGTGGAAAAGAGCTAAGAGCTCTTCCGTTAAATGAATGTGACGGACAAGTGCTTAATGTGCCTGGATTGTGTGCTCCAGCTTCCTTCTTTTCGCAAACGTAGATGAGGTGGGTGCAACTGGAAATAAGGCAACAGTTGAGCAGGTGCTAACTTGACAACAGTATTTGGGCTTAGGAGAAAGTTTACCAGGCCTTTGCCAATAACATTGGAAGAAGCCATTGCGAAATGTACACACAGTGTCTAAAGTCTTATGCATTGCTGTAGTTGAGTGCTAAGTTTAAGATATATTTTTGGAACAGTTTTGCAGTTTAAACCATGTGAGTGTGTTATAGCCAAGAGCGGAATCTAGTAGCGCATTAGAGACCAATTGCTTTACTGTGACGTGAGCTTTGGTAGCTAAGATCCCACCGAATTTTAGCCCTGCACGGTGCACGTATAGGGTTTAGTGAAATAAAATAGCACATGAACTTGTTTTCCATGGTTCAGATTCACCCATTTGTTCTCTTTTCAAACTGGCCTCTCGCCGGGTGTCTCCATCACTTCAGTCCATAGCTTCTCTGCTGACGCTGAGGCCACAGTAAACCACTCAACCTTTCATGTGCCGTAGAAGACTTCTCAGCAGGCCTCTCTGGAGTAAAACTCCAGTTTCGCCCTGTTGCATTTATGTTAATTTCACGCAGGAGGACAAAACCTTAGCAACCTCCAAAGAAATGAGATCAGCTTTTAAATCTTAGGAGGCTCTTCTGTACTAACTTTTAAAAGGTTACTAGTTTGGAACGGTTATTTTCTCTCAGGCTGTCCTCTTGGAAGAGTTCTTTGCGGCTCTAGCTTTCGATCCTTGTGATGATCTATACTCCCCCCCGTCCCTGCAAAAAAAGTTGCCCATAATTGATTAACAATGGCTACCACTGTAGTGTTACCATTTTAGGTCACACTTGCCAAGGATAGACAATGCTGACAAAATTCAGTCCCATATGACTTACTAACATGAATTCAAGAACTTTGTTTTTCCATCACAGCCTTTTAGTTGTTGCAAAAGGAGGAGGTATCGGAATTAAAAAAAAAAACCAATTTTAAAAATAAGTGAATGCATGTTGCTGTTTGTGGATGTAGCATCACTATAGAATTTGTACTGATGAAATTTAATTTTTACTGCACTCACTGAAAATACTGTACAAGGTGTCTCTCAAAGTTCTTTCCTCTGATCTTTTGGCTAAAATTTTGCTGCATCTTGGGTTCTTCAAGAATCCCATTTACTTAATGGTTTTTTGGGGTTGTGAGACTGAAGCAGCTTTTGTGTTGCCCAAGAAGGATCTTGGAATACCTTGAACTGCAAAACTAAAGGAGCCCTCTGTGCCTTAAGAAATTTGTCTCTTAGGACATCACCTCGTGCCAGAACAAATGCTTGGCATTTGCAGCGGAGTAAACAAGAAGTGGTATGATACCTGCCCAGAAGCTAAAAGATATTGGATTAAAATCCACACATGGTTGGAAAAAATGATAAAACAACATATAGACTTTAAACCAGAGACAAATTTC